TAATGTATATTAGAAGAGCTTTTGTTGTATAACCCATAAACTCAACTGTGGCCTCATATAAAGACATGTAGCCTGTATGATATATTCCTGACTGATTTGCTAGATGTTTAGAAATTACTGCTCAGTGACTTAGCTACTGATTAATGTATATTAGAAGAGCTTTTGTTGTATAACCCATAAACTCAACTGTGGCCTCATATAAAGACGTAGCCTGTATGATATATTCCTGACTGATTTGCTAGATGTTTAGAAATTACTGCTCAGTGACTTAGCTACTGATACACAACGTTTCCTCAGTAGCTAAGTCACTGAGCAGTAATTTGGATTCATCATAACCCACACACTGAAGTCTAATTATTTCGCTGTATATTTATTTATGTACAGTTTTCCCCTCACTTTATTTTCAAAAGAACCACTCTGTGAGATAGATTGGGCTATGAGATAGATTGGGAAATACTTCAGAGAGTGTGGACTCCATGGAGATGTAGGGACCTGAACCTGGGTTTCTCCAGTTCCACTCTAATGCCTTTACTGCTGCGCTATATTAGCTCTCTGAGAAGCCATGAGTATGTACTCGTGCAGCCTTCCCAACTTGATCCCATCCAGATGCGATGGCTGGCTGAGGAATGGTCATCTCCTGCCCTGAGCAGGGGATGAACTACATAACCTCTAAGGTCCTTTTCAGCTCTGGGCTTCCATGTTGTTTGCTCATGCAAAGAACCCATATGTCCTCAGAGACCTGCCAGCGCAAGGGCAAGAGAACGGTCCTTGCTTTTCTAGTATGGAAGGCAGGGTAAAGCAGCAGAGGAATCTACCACACAGGAGTCATGGTAACGACAGAATGATGTTGGCCAGACAGAATCCCTGGTCAACATCAGTGCCAAAGACTGAAGTCCAGAGAGTGATTTCTAACACTGGCTTTATTGCTAGCCAGTTTCAGCACATGAGACAACCAACGTAAGCTCGTCATGCAGAATTGTCCTCAGTTTCTTCAGCCTGTGCTTTTAGGACTGTGTGGGTTCAAATCCTCTCTTCCCCCACACAGTATTCTGGCGTGTATGCTTTTCAGAGTGCTGCCTAATAGTCTTCCTTAGCTTCACTTAGTTGTTCTTCCTGACATCCAATCTGCACTCCATACATACCATAACTTTCCAACAATATGTGCTCCCCATGGGGTTTTTCCACAGGGGCACCCTCTTTTTTCTGAGAAACCTGTATCCTCTGCCCTCCTTTTTCTTCGATCCAGTTTTGGCCCACGACATTTCACTGCCTGAGGTGAAGCAGCAAAAGGCCCAGGGCATTAAGCCACAAGCCATAAGTGCAGAAGCTGAAGTCCCAGAGCTGCGTGAGGCCCAACTCATGGGTGTAACCTGCAGAGACCTTCAAACATTGATGCATCATTTTTAATTTGTCTGAAGAACTATATTTAATTACTTTTAAATGTAAATGAAATGAAATGAAAATTTTAAAACATTGTTTTTGTTCTGGGCCCATCCCTTAATTTGGGGGATGTAGGCTAAGCATGTCCCTCAGCCCAGAGAAAGTTGTATGCCTGCCATATGTACCATATAGCTGAATTTATGAAGCATACTAAGGGATGATCCTCACTTCTCTCTTGGTCCTACATGAGGATAGGCCACCTACTGTTTCAAATAACCAATGATTTACATTTTAACTGGGTGCCAGCTCCATTCTATCCCCATTGCCTCCAAGATACATTAAATTTCAATCCAATCCCCGTCACTGCTGGCTGGGGAAACTTGGACAATATCCAATAAAGCTGGAGGGGATCAGGTTGAGAAAGAATTATCTATTTTCTTGTTTCATAATTATCTTTGCTCAAGATTTCTTATCTGCACTGTCCAAATCTTTCATTGCCTCTCAATTCTTTCTTAAGGTATTTGTCAATAACTTTGCCACCCACTCTGTTGATCAGGCACACAATCTTTGTCTTGGCTTTATTTTCAGTTCATTCCTTTTCTGCTGTGCTCATTCCATTGTTGCCAAGGCATGTTATTTTATCATGCACAGCATTCTGAAAATCCACTCTTTCCACTGTACCCTATCAGCTAAATCTTTGCTTCATACTTGAATAATCTCCCATCATCATTATTGACATCTTCCTATCCACCTTCTGAACCTATATTAGTTCTGTGGAAAGGAAAATAACAGTTATGTCATTCCTCACCTTGCAGTTTTTTTGATGTTATAACATGGTAGTGTCTGACTTCATGTATGTAAATAACACTGACATGTAGGCCACCAATGTGGTTATTGCCATTTTACTTAGCTGAACCAGGAGATTCAAGGAAACAAAAATGGGGGGATTGATTTGCTGACCTTGTCTGTGTTCACATAACATGGTAGCCCATTTATTAATTAATCTTATTGCTTGTGGACCTAGCCAGATTGCTGTATGACCTTGGCCCTTGTTTGACAAGGGAGGGTGATTTGAGCCAGAGTTCAAATAGTTCTGGTTAATTATTACTAAGAAATATTTTTTCTGGGATGTACATTTACAGTTTTGCATAGAAAAGTAAATGGCTTTCATACCCTGGTGTGGGAAACAGTAAAGTGCTTGTTGGGCTCATCCTCTTCTCCTCCAACAATAGCACCAACATGATCTGGTAACTGGCTTTTTATGCCATGTGCTCATGATGAAGCCTTCAGTTCACCCCCAGCCCATAGCTGGTTCATTCATTGATTCATTGATTCATTAGCAGAATGGCCATAGACCAAAGAGATACCAGAATCAGCAGAGTGTATACAATCATTGAAAGGAAGGAAAAAAAGATGTGCAACTAGCTGAATTTCATAGCTGACGTACTTTTGGAGACCTTTATGGTGTGAGTCAAGCTCAAGAGAGGCTAGTTGAGACTGTCATGGCTGGCAAACTCCTACATACAGATTAATAGAGGAAGGGGCAGTCCAGCAATTCCTTTCCCTAACTGCATTAAAATGGTGAGAACAGCCCCAGTTGCTGGCTTTGTTACTGTAATAGAATAGAGCTCAGCTGACAGTTATGCTGGCATAATTCTCTGTTGGCTCAAGGACTGTTGGATAGTGCTTTAACACAGCCATCTAGCTGTCCCTATAGTTAATGACACAATCAAGGAGAGATAAAACCTGACTCAGCTGAAGAACGGTGTTCCCCCACCTAATGATTGCCTTGCAGTGAAGTTCCCTTGAAATAAACTTCTATCTATGGAAACCTCAGGAGGAAGAGAGAAATAATCATAGTCTTAAATTCAAGTGCTGGAAGGTGAAATGAAACAAGAATTCCCACCAGTGAAGAAACCAGACCTCCTTTTTTTAAAAAGCCTTTAAAAAAAAAAATCATTATTGGCTTTGCTGCAGTTTATAACACATCACAAATATTTGAATTCTCCCCATTTTTCTTTTACAGGTGTTTCATTTTGAATGTTTAGAAATCCTAAAGCTCCGAAATAACCCCATCAAATTCATCCCAGAAGAGATCTCTGCAATGAGGAATCTTAAATTCTTGACCGTGTCCTTCAATTTGCTGACTACTCTTCCAGTTGAGTATGTAGTAATTTTAATTAATAGATCAGAGTTGAATGGAGGAGAAGCTTCCAAGACATGGGAGTGGCCTTCTCACAAGTTGTTTTACCATCAATCACCTCAAGTAAAGCCTAGCTGTGTTGACTAGGCTTTATCAGCACAGCTAAGGACAACTAAAGCCTGTCTCGCTCATGGGATATGGATGAGATGAAGCCAGTAGAATGGTGTTCTGGAAGAAAAAAGATATGTTTGTGCAAGTGGACAAAGGCCTGAAGCATAGAGCCTCGGTCCCATTAAAAACTGAAGCTCTGACAGAAGTTGTATCCTAGTTTCCAGTACATCACTAACTATGAAGGCTGTGAATTTACTTTAAAAAAAATCCAGACTTTTCAGAAATCCATAGAAAGGTAAGATTTTCGATCCTTGGCTTTAGAGAATGTTCAGGTGGTAAGATGGGTCTTCCATCCCAACTCTGCTTGCTGCAAATGTCCTTTGGCCAGAACAGGAATTAACTCCAGAGCATGCCTTCCTGATAATACATGCAAAACAAGAATTAACGCCAGAGCAAAGCGACAAGCTGGGGTATTTTCCTCTCAGGTAAGGCAAGATGGCTACAGCATTTCTGCTGCAAAAACAATTAGGAACCTCATGGGAGCTTCAAAAGACAACCTGGGTGATGACATAAGCTGTTCATGATGTAGCCCACAAATGTTTGTTTGTTTATTCGATTTAAAGGCCTCCTGACTCCTTAGTGACTCTGGGCAGCTTACAATGAAAAGAAAAAGAAAAAACATTTATGTTGCAATAAATGCCTTACCTGTTAACACAACAGATATAGCTAGCTGAGGGAAGCTCAACATCAGAATGACCAAACTCTGTTTTAAGGGGCTACAGGACTGACAACATGTTTTCTCTTGCCTACTGCTTTTCAATCATTACCAATGACAGAACTTTCTACTTTTATAGGCTATTTACCCTGCCAAATCTTCAGAGTCTTGATGTTTCCTATAATGAACTCGAATATATCCCTAATGAAATACAAAATCTCAGGTACTGTACTGATTTTCCTGTTTTGACAAGAGGAGGAATTCTTTGGCCTTCCAGATGTTGTTGGACTACAGTTTCCAGCCCCCCCAACCCCATAGGCAATGGGAGGAGAGGCTGAGAACTATAGTTTGGCAATATATGACAGGCTAGTATTTTCCCCATTTTACAAATAAGATCCATGGATTTTCTTGAATTGCCTTAAACATGGGGAGACTAGCAACTGGAGCCTTTCTCTGCCTATACGTCATCTCAGAAAAGACTAATACCGTGCCAAAGGGACACGGGACTCTGCTTAGACTAAATGAGGCTATCTTGAGCTATTTATGACTGAGGCATCCTTGGGACCATGTTATTTTTGCACAGGCTACTGTTAAAATAGAGCATTCTGGCAGATTAAGAAACGCATTCACTGACTGTAATGCTTTTCTTAATCTGTCAGAATGCTCTATTTTTAACAGAAAGCTCTTTTTAAATTCCTGATAATTCGCTTAAGAATTAAAGCAGTGTTTTCAAACTTGACAACTTTAAGATGTGTGAATTTCAACTCCCAGATTTCTCCAGCCAGCACACTGGCTGAGGAATTCTGAGAGTTGAAGTCCCACAACTTAAAGTTGTTGAGTTTGAAAAACAACAGAATTAAAGGCTGCAAAGAGGGATGGCAAATATTTTGACCCTGTGGGACAGGAATCACACACCCTTAGACCGATACATTCTCTGATTTTTCTCTTCCCCTTCCCCCATTTCCACTGTTGGAAGACCTGAAAGACCAGGTGAGGGATAGACAGTCATGAAGAAAAATCTATCTATGTGCTCACTAGGAGTTGAAAATGACTTGATGGTACATAACCAATCAATCAAACTTCCCCCATTTCACTGCATGGGGAGGAAGCTATCCATCTGTCATGATACCTGATAGGTGTTGCAAGTAGATTTTCCCAGCACGTCAACTGGGTCTGGTGACAGAGAAATACATAGATTAAATGTGGGAGAAGACAGAGATTGCTTTCTCCCTGTGCCACCGTCTTGACAGTGTGGGGAGAAAAGTCATGCAAAGAGAGTATACAGTACTTTCTTTCCTCATCCTGCTCTGCTTTATTGCAAAGGGAAGCCATCTGGTGGTGGCAACAGTTGTGCCTTGATATGGGCCAAAAAGAAGGGCTCCCGACTGCCTAAAAAAAGTTCCATGCCAAGATCATTTTGTTCCCCCCATACGTGGATGCCCAAGAGAACTACACCCCAAATTGATGTGATGAATGTCTAATCAGTGGGGTGTCTTCTTCCAAATTCTCAGAAACCTCACCTACCTGAATGTTGAAGGGAATCTGCTCTACTACTTGCCTTGTGGGATTCTGAAACTTCAGCTGAAACAGCTGCTGGTGGAAAACAACTTTTTGCATGCCTGTTTCTGGAAGGAGATTTTCCTGATGCAGCCTCAGCGCCTTACTGACATGGCTGCCCTGTGCTTTGTTAAGCACAAGCTGTGGAAAATATATTATGAGATTCCAGAGGAGATTCAAGATATTATAAGCAAGTAAGCTGGATGCCATCACTACTAGAGGTTGTAAGGCCACAGTTGAGTGCAAAAGGGGCAATGAAAAAGCTGCCCGATAATCACAGGCCCAAGAAAGGTCTCCTCAGAGGCAAGAACATGTCTGGGCCAGGAAGACAAGGACCTGCCCAGTTAAGGTTCTGAAAAGAGTTTGTAACATGGTGGAGTTACATTGGCAGCCACCTGATATGACTCAATAAACTATAATACCCAAAGTCATGGGCTATGGACACTCATCTTCTTAAGTCATGAATAAGGCTGAGGTTATGCAGGGTTTAGCAAATGGGTGAAGCAAACACAGTATAATAAGAATGTTTTAAGTTGGCCTTTTAATGAAAAAAAGTCATAAATAAGAGTTTAATGGACATTGCCTATTTATGACTATGTATGTTGGAAATGCAGGCATGTTTTCATTTTTTTAATTCCACCTTTCCTCCAAAGGACTCAACATTATACACAGGGTTTCCTCCACCATTCGTTTTATCTTCACAGCAAGTCTTGAGCTGACTAACAGTACCAATCATATTCATTTTTGTTTATATCTTATCTTGCTGCCCCAAAGCCATTCAGACTGCATTCCTATGAATGGATTCCCACATTGTATTTAGTCCGAGTTTAGTCATGGTTTATTGAATAAACCAGAATTGGTTAGTTTCATAAAGGGCTGGATTCATGCAACGTGCTAACTCCAAACCAATGAAGTCCCATTGTAGCTTAGCTTGTTATGTGAACCCAGCCTGTCAGAAGTTAGACCCATTGAATCCAGTGGGCTTACTCCCAAGGAAGAGTAGAAAATACAATTGCTTCAGTGAACAAAAGAGGTGACTCTGAGACTCCCCAGTTCCAGTCTGGCACTGTAACTGAAATTTCCTGCATTCTGGAAATTTCCTGAGGACAAGGATATTTATTGTGAATGTGGCACTACTCAAACAATTATCCATCTTTTGCAGTGCCCCTTGGGACCCACATGCACACAAAATGACTTGCTGGTCGGAAATACCTTTGCCATCAATGTGGCCTGGCATTGGGCAAGAATTATATACATCTATATTTTTATTGAAGTTTTTAATTTTTTAAAATTTAGATTAATAGTTATCTCCCTTCCAGTTCCTGCATTTCTGACACGAGATGAGACTGAAATTAAAATAAAATGCATCAAATTAAAATGCATGATTTTATTTATCATCAGAAGGCACGGCTTGAATATTGATCTCAGGTCATTAAAACAATTCTCACTTTCAGAATGTATCTTTGCATCCTTTAAGGATATAATATCTAATATACTTCATTGTGGTATAGTGATTAAAATGCCAGATTAGGACTATGGAGACCTGGGGGGGGAGGGTTTACAATTTTTTTAAGGTTGATTAGCCATCAACTGACCACAGTTCACCCAGCTAAGCCATTAGCTATGGTTTATAAGCCACAACAGCTGAGTTCACACAATATGTTAAGCCCCAATCGAACAAATTCTAGTGTGGGTGAATAAAGTGGTCTGTGGACCAGATGACTCTCTGCATTCATATTTGATTGCCCAAGATGATCCATATCTAGTTTATTTCCTAAGAGAGAAAATGGAAACCTTCCACTCTGCTCTTCAGCGTGCAAAGCTAACATTGTATACTGTATATCCACAGCAGTCTAATCTGGGCACAAGACTAATCATAGGCTAATTCCTTCCTCTGCAGACCAATACGAGGGCATAGGGCAGTGTTGTCCAAACTTGGCCACTTTAAGATGAGTAGACTTCAACTCCCAGAATTCCCCCCTCCCGCCTCTCCCGGCGGCGTGGGTTCTGTGGTGAGTGGTCCTCATTATTTACAGTGGCGAGTCTATGTCGAAGCCCCTCTCTCCTC